AGGCGCGGGTGGGTTGATTCTAGGAACTTGAATTGTGAGAAGAGACAAGACGTTGGGAAATGAGTGACAAACGGTTACTCACCAGTGACTCACGGTCTACCCGTACCCGGCCGCACCAGAGTCGCAAACGGGTACCCGTACCCGGCCAGGTACGTGTAGCCGGGTATCGGGTAGGGTACGGGTATCAGGTACCCGATTGCGACCTCTGACACACACTCGAGAAATGTTCAACACCATCTTCATATATGGAGAACCGCAGAGCTTGTGGAGTGAATTTGGGGCCAGCTCAGCCTGTGGCCGTGGTTCCTCCTCGCACCGTTGAGTCGTCCTCTCTCTCTCTCTCTCTTCGAGAGCGAGCGAATACTGCGCGGGAACGCGCTACAACCTGAAATGATTATTACCTCATTTAGATTCATTATTGGCGACGACTGAATGAGGGCCGCACGGCTATTATGCAGCAGCTCACACAGATATGGTAATCACAGCAGCGAGGCAGAGTGAATGACTGGCAGCAGGGCTACCGTCGTTTTGCATGTACGTATGTAAGTTGAACTTCCGTCGCACCGTACGTAGCCAACCGTGCTAATCGGAAGCGCGGGAGGAAAGGACAACAGACTAAACACAAAAAGAAATGAGTTTGTCAATCTCGACGATGATTTAAAAGTGCATAGCTCCCAGTGACTTCCTAATATCGGAAGGGGAGAGCGTTCCAGACGGCCGCAAGAACCAGCGCATCTGAGAGCGCCGCGCGGTGCGGCGTCCGCCGTCTTTGTTCGATGGCCCAGCCAAAAAGCCGCCACTGCTGCTGCGAGGAAGACCCCGAGTTCGCGCGATGATGGTTTACACCGTGGCTTGCAGTTGGTAAAATCGCAGGCTCTCTCCGTGGGTCAGCAGAGCCCCCAAGAGCATTCGGTTCTTTAAAGTAAAGAAATAACTGCACCACCACACCGCTTTGGCGGTGGCCGAAAGTCCAGGTGATTTCCCAATCAAATAAAACAGTGACGTATTGGCGCACATCTCCTGCTTTGCAGTCCCCGATCCAGTGTTGGGAAATTCCACATTCACGTGGCTGGCGGCAGCGTCTCTCTGTTGCGCAACCGCTGTTGACTTCTCCACAAAGTGGTACCTATTGCATTAGCCCCGGAGGGATGGTGAGCCCGAGTTTAACCTCCCCCAGCCAGAGGTTGAACTCGCACGCGTCCCCCTCACGAGCTGTCTGTCACCTCTCTCCAATGGCCTTGCTATGAAGAAGGGCTGTTGCCCGGGAAATGCGGCGTTTTATAAAACAAAATTCTTATCGTCATTTTCAGGGCAGTGTTATTGATGAACGTGTCAAGTTATTTTTTTCACTGTGAAATTAATTTTAGAAAGTCCACATTTAAAAAAAAAAAGTTATATATTCTTTGACTCAAATCTCACAAAGTGCTTTAAAAATACAACTGACCGGATCCTTGCCAACTCCACCAATCGAAGCTACCGGTTGTTATTCTCCCCCTCTCTCTCTCGCCCGTGCGTGCCAATCATCAAACCAAACATTGCACTGAAAATGTTGTTGGAGGTTTATTTTCTCACCCACCCCACCGAAAAAAACCAACCCAACAGAGCGCTGAGATGAGCGGAGTGGCAGCCAACGCGAGGGGCCGCCCACCACCATGGGAGATGGAGCGACGGAATCGGCCAAAGTGCAGGGTGGATCGTTACCATCGCGGGATCTGACGGCAAGGAGACTTTGACAAATCGCAGCCTGTCACTTACAGTGGCAGAGTTGGCAGACTGTGGTGAAATACCCTTAAACAAAAAACCTGGCAACGTGTGGCAGCACCTGGGCTATGATGAACAGCTGTGGCTGTGATCCCAGTGTCTGCTGCTCGGGGAGGCCTTCATCCAGCAATGGACTGACCATGGATGATGATGATAGTGGTGGCGTAGTAAGGCCTTCATCCAGCAGTGGGTTGACAATAGCTGCTGATGATAATAGTGGTGGCGTGGTGAGACCTTCATCCAGCAATGGACTGACCATAGATGATGATGATAGTGGTGGGGTAATAAGGCCTTCATCCAGCAATGGACTGACCATGGATGATGATAGTGGTGGCGTAATAAGGCCTTCATCCAGCAGTGGATTGACAATAGCTGATGATGATGATAGTGGTGGCGTGGTGAGACCTTCATCCAGCAATGGACTGACCATAGATGATGATGATAGTGGTGGGGTAGTAAGGCCTTCATCCAACAGTGGGTTGACAATAGCTGATGATAGTGGTGGCATAATAAGGCCTTCATCCAGCAGTGGGTTGACAATAGCTGCTGATGATAATAGTGGTGGCGTGGTGAGACCTTCATCCAGCGGTGGACTGACCATGGATGATGATGATGATGATTAGCTTTGAATAGTAATTTAGAATGTTTGTTATTTGCTGCATTCTTATAGCGCAGGGCTATAACGTAGGCTCTGTGCTTCGTGGCCGGATGAAGTTTGCCAGTAGGGGGCGACGCCGCGCTGTGTAATCCCAACCGAGTAATTTTCGCGGTGTGTTTATTTAAAATTCGCTCAACGTGGGCCGTGACGCCGTTTATTCGTTTAGACTGACGTCACGCGGCTCCTTAAATGCCCGCTGCAAAGCAGACGACGCGTATTAGTCGCAGTTAATACGCACCCACCGCCGCAGCAATAGCCACGGTGGCCTGCCAGATTCCGACCGCGAGCCTCTGCGGCACGCGGCGACTCCGCCGGACTGCATCACCGCGCCTCCTGTCTCTGCCGTCGCCCGCCGGGAGGAATGATTTACTCTGCTGCTCGCTAAAGCAGCCCATACCAAACGTCGCTGAAAAAGAGCTCCACAGCTCACTGGATTCCTCCGGCAGTCTAAATGAAGACTGTGATTCTGACGGTAAAGAGGTTTTGAAAAAGTGGCAGCCTGCCACTTGCAGCGACAGAGTTGGCAAACTGTTGGGGAAGTACACTTTAAAAAAAAAAACTGGCTCCGTGTGGCAGCCCTCGGGGGCTTTGATGAACGGCTGTGGCTGTGATCCCAGCGTCTCCTGGATGTTGATTAAGGGAGTGAAGACCACAGCGGGGCGACGTGCATGGAGGGTCTGAGGCGGCGTGGGGATTTTCAAGGAGCTGTCATTTGATCTCCACGGAGCCACCCTCCTTGCAGCTAAACGACTTTCGGAAATCAACTCAAAAATACATTTCAGAGCGTTGCGATCGCCGGCGGCAAAAAAGCACGTGCGTAATTTCATTGATTATTTTTGCCCTTTCCACAAAGTTTATTCGGATCCCGCACATCCGTGTCACGTGCGTGGCCCTGGATTTTAATCCAGAAAGCGAGCTGCATTGCATAGAGACCCATGGCCATCACAGACACCCATAAACTCACGTGGAGACCCAAAGACTGCTGCTGCTGATGCTGCTGCTGCTGCTACTGCTGCTGCTGCTACTACTGCTACTGCTGCTACTGCTGCTGCTACTGCTGCTGCTGCTACTGCTACTGCTCCTGCTGCTGCTGCTACTGCTGCTGCTGCTGCTCCTGCTGCTGCTGCTGCTCCTGCTGCTGCTGCTACTGCTGCTGCTGCTGCTCCTGCTGCTGCTGATGCTGCTGCTGCTGCTAATGCTGCTGCTGCTGCTACTGCTGCTGCTGCTGCTCCTGCTGCTGCTGCTACTGCTGCTCCTGCTACTGCTGCTGCTGCTCCTGCTGCTGCTGCTACTGCTGCTGCTGCTCCTGCTGCTGATGCTGCTGCTGATGCTGCTGCTGCTGCTGCTGATGCTGCTGCTGCTGATGCTGCTGCTGCTGCTGATGCTGCTGCTGCTGATGCTGCTGCTGCTGATGCTGCTGCTGCTGCTGCTGCTCCTGCTGCTGCTGCTACTGCTGCTGCTCCTGCTGCTGCTGCTGATGCTGCTCCTGCTGCTCCTGCTGCTCCTGCTGCTGCTGCTACTGCTGCTGCTCCTGCTGCTGCTGCTGCTGCTACTGCTGCTGCTGCTGCTCCTGCTGCTGCTGCTGTTGCTGCTGCTGCTGCTACTGCTGCTACTGCTGCTACTGCTACTACTGCTGCTGCTGCTGCTCCTGCTGCTGCTGCTGCTTCTGCTGCTACTGCTACTACTGCTGCTGCTGCTCCTGCTGCTCCTGCTGCTGCTGCTGCTCCTGCTGCTGCTGCTGCTACTGCTGCTACTGCTACTGCTGCTACTGCTACTACTGCTACTGCTGCTGCTACTGCTGCTACTGCTGCTACTGCTACTACTGCTGCTGCTGCTGCTCCTGCTGCTGCTGCTGCTACTGCTGCTACTGCTACTACTGCTGCTGCTGCTCCTGCTGCTCCTGCTGCTGCTGCTCCTGCTGCTACTGCTACTGCTGCTACTGCTACTACTGCTACTGCTGCTACTGCTGCTACTGCTACTACTGCTACTGCTGCTGCTACTGCTGCTACTACTGCTACTGCTGCTACTGCTACTACTGCTGCTGCTGCTACTGCTGCTACTACTGCTGCTGCTACTGCTGCTACTACTGCTGCTGCTGCTACTGCTACTACTGCTACTACTGCTGCTACTACTGCTACTGCTGCTACTACTGCTGCTGCTGCTGCTACTGCTACTGCTGCTGCTGCGAGGATGACCAGAGTTCGTGCGACGGTTTATGCTCCTCGACGAGCTCGGCGAGGTGCCGTGGTTCAATAACGTGGAGATTCCCGAACGGACTCCATCGTTTCGCGGATCATTTACTTCCTTTATAAGTTGAGCCTGCGCTCAGCCTTTGGGACAAACTGCCCGCCTTGCCACTTCTGAAAACCCAAGCAAGACCCGGGCCCATCGATTTACAGCGGCGGTGGCAGCACCAAGTATTTGTGGAGGACACTTGAGACCATTCGACTGAGTGCAGGCAGAGCTCGCTGCAAGGAGCAGGGGACGTGCGGTGGTGCAGAGTGCCGGTGGATGTGACCTGTGTTGTGGAAGGAGAGTGTGGGGGAGCAGAGGTGGGGTGGGGGTTGGCGGGGAGTCATACCGGTGGTGGGGGACGCAGAGCATCCGAGGGTTTCTCTGCCACGGGTTCCGCCAGACACTTCTGCGACTCTTCACCCTGCTCCTCCGCCTCGCTGATGCTGTGCGCGTGTGATTGTACGCGGACACACAGTGACACGAAGATGAAGAACACCCCCCCACCTCCACACCACCACCATATATGCTTTAACAGACTGTTGGAGCAAGTGTTGTTAGCGAGCACCTATTAACGCCGGCAGGGTACACGGAGGTGTTGGGTGGCCAGCGCGCACACCATGACCGTCCCCTTGTTTTCCGAGCACCCCGTGTTTACGCACCGCAACCGAGTAATTCATTTAAGGCTGAGTAGACCTAGAAGAGGCCCAGGTCCGGTCCGCGAGCGGGAATTGAACCCGGGCCGCCGGGTTTATAGCGCGGCGTCCCTAACCGCTGCGCCACCGCTCACCGCACCGCGCCACGCCACGCACACAAGCGCAGACGCACACCCCACATCCCCGGAGAACCCCACCACCACCCCGATACGCCCCCCCCCCACCCCCGTTGCTTTGAAATGCAAATCTCCTCCGTGCAGTTTTGGCAAGATTAGTTAAAAATACAGGGTCGGCCGTTTGACGGCAGCGTTAAAAATAAATAGGATTTCTTTTCTTTTTTTAAATACATTACAATCTGCACATTTCCTCGCTTCTCTCCCGTCCACGCGCTTTCGGTCTCCACCCACGACCCGCGAGCTCTTCTCATTAATTTTCAACAGTTAATGTTACATTGGCTCCCGACGCGGCAACGGCATGTAATGTAACCCTGCTACGGGATCCAAAAGCATTGCACTGCTCCCACCCCACCGACCCCCCCCAACCCTCATCTCGGTGGCTGCCCGAGTGAGTTCGTGCTTTGAGCTCATGTCTTGTTTCCCAAGGCCAAGCAGGGTCAGTGCTGGCTAAATAATCATAACAAAACAGGCTGTAACGGCGCCAGCGCATTATATCACAGGCACGTAACGATGGTGTCACTCGAAAGAAAGTAGAAAGAGATCGGGGCCTTTAAGCAAGAGATGGTGCCTTTAGATGACCCTTAAAAGTCGGTGTGGATTGAACGCTGCTGCTGCTAATGTTCAGCGAGATGACGACGATGATGAAGATGGTGATAAGATTAACACGTAGGCTTTCGCGACCAATATCGTCCATAATGTAGGTTTTTGGGGTTAGATCGCGTAAATATAAATGTGTATTGAAGGAACGAAACAGGAGGATTTCTCCACAAATCTGGCTGTCACCTGATGAAGCTGGTTGTAATTACTGGCAAAATGTCGTACTCAGATTGTAAATGTTGTGGTTTGGCTCTCCAACACACCGGTGTGCTGTACTAGTGACGAATTGGCATGTTCCGTTCATGTGACAAACCTCACAAATTGGCTGTGTCGGGTGGTGGTAGGTTTAACGATGCATTAAAAAAATATATATATTATGGACGATGATGACGACGATGATGACGACGACACTGATGATGATGACGATGATCACGATGACTACGACGATGATGACGACCACAATGATGATGATGACGACGACGATGATGACGATGACAATGATGATGACGACGACAATTATGATGATGACAATGACAACGATGATGACGACGATGATGACGACGACAATGATGGTGACAACGACGACGACGACGATAATGACGACAATGACGACGACAATGATGATGATGACAACGACGACGATGATGACGACGATGATGACGACAACAATGATGATGGTGACAACGACAACGATGGTGACAACGATGATGACGACAATGATGATGATGACAACGACGACGATGACGATAGCTGCCTTGGAGAAACGACGCCTGGCAATGCCGTTCCTGGTCCTCGGTGTAGAGAACAGGAGCTGTGGTGCAGGGTGACAGGGGCTGTGGTGCAGGGTGACAGGAGCTGTGGTGCAGGGTGACAGGAGCTGTGGTGCAGGGTGACAGGGGCTGTGGTGCAGGGTGACAGGAGCTGTGGTGCAGGGTGACAGGAGCTGTAGTGCAGGGTGACAGGAGCTGTGGTGCAGGGTGACAGGAGCTGTAGTGCAGGGTGACAGGAGCTGTGGTGCAGGGTGACAGGGGCTGTAGTGCAGGGTGACAGGAGCTGTGGTGCAGGGTGACAGGGGCTGTGGTGCAGGGTGACAGGAGCTGTGGTGCAGGGTGACAGGGGCTGTGGTGCAGGGTGACAGGAGCTGTGGTGCAGGGTGACAGGAGCTGTGGTGCAGGGTGACAGGGGCTGTGGTGCAGGGTGACAGGAGCTGTGGTGCAGGGTGACAGGAGCTGTAGTGCAGGGTGACAGGAGCTGTGGTGCAGGGTGACAGGAGCTGTAGTGCAGGGTGACAGGAGCTGTGGTGCAGGGTGACAGGGGCTGTAGTGCAGGGTGACAGGAGCTGTGGTGCAGGGTGACAGGGGCTGTGGTGCAGGGTGACAGGAGCTGTGGTGCAGGGTGACAGGAGTTGTGGTGCAGGGTGACAGGAGCTGTGGTGCAGGGTGACAGGAGTTGTGGTGCAGGGTGACAGGAGCTGTAGTGCAGGGTGACAGGAGCTGTGGTGCAGGGTGACAGGAGCTGTGGTGCAGGGTGACAGGAGTTGTGGTGCAGGGTGACAGGAGCTGTAGTGCAGGGTGACAGGAGCTGTGGTGCAGGGTGACAGGAGCTGTGGTGCAGGGTGACAGGAGCTGTGGTGCAGGGTGACAGGAGCTGTAGTGCAGGGTGACAGGAGCTGTGGTGCAGGGTGACAGGAGCTGTGGTGCAGGGTGACAGGAGCTGTGGTGCAGGGTGACAGGGGCTGTGGTGCAGGGTGACAGGAGCTGTGGTGCAGGGTGACAGGAGCTGTAGTGCAGGGTGACAGGAGCTGTAGTGCAGGGTGACAGGAGCTGTGGTGCAGGGTGACAGGAGCTGTGGTGCAGGGTGACAGGAGCTGTGGTGCAGGGTGACAGCAGCTGTGGTGCAGGGTGACAGGAGCTGTGGTGCAGGGTGACAGGAGCTGTAGTGCAGGGTGACAGGAGCTGTAGTGCAGGGTGACAGGGGCTGTGGTGCAGGGTGACAGGAGCTGTAGTGCAGGGTGACAGGAGCTGTGGTGCAGGGTGACAGGGGCTGTGGTGCAGGGTGACAAGAGCTGTAGTGCAGGGTGACAGGAGCTGTGGTGCAGTGTGACAGGAGCTGTAGTGCAGGGTGACAGGAGCTGTGGTGCAGGGTGACAGGGGCTGTGGTGCAGGGTGACAGGAGCTGTGGTGCAGGGTGACAGGAGCTGTGGTGCAGGGTGACAGGAGCTGTAGTGCAGGGTGACAGGAGCTGTAGTGCAGGGTGACAGGGGCTGTGGTGCAGGGTGACAGGAGCTGTAGTGCAGGGTGACAGGAGCTGTGGTGCAGGGTGACAGGGGCTGTGGTGCAGGGTGACAAGAGCTGTAGTGCAGGGTGACAGGAGCTGTGGTGCAGTGTGACAGGAGCTGTAGTGCAGGGTGACAGGAGCTGTGGTGCAGGGTGACAGGAGCTGTGGTGCAGGGTGACAGGAGCTGTAGTGCAGGGTGACAGGAGCTGTGGTGCAGTGTGACAGGAGCTGTAGTGCAGGGTGACAGGAGCTGTGGTGCAGGGTGACAGGAGCTGTAGTGCAGGGTGACAGGAGCTGTGGTGCAGGGTGACAGGAGCTGTGGTGCAGGGTGACAGGAGCTGTGGTGCAGGGTGACAAGAGCTGTAGTGCAGGGTGACAGGAGCTGTAGTGCAGGGTGACAGGAGCTGTGGTGCAGGGTGACAGGAGCTGTAGTGCAGGGTGACAGGAGCTGTGGTGCAGGGTGACAGGGGCTGTAGTGCAGGGTGACAGGAGCTGTGGTGCAGGGTGACAAGAGCTGTAGTGCAGGGTGACAGGAGCTGCGCTTGTGCACCACTACCAACGCAGTAGCAGCATCACTCTCTAATGTATTTATCGTATGTAATCTCACACAGAGACCCATCGACTCACACGGACTCACACAGAGATGGGGCATGACCCTAACGATCAAAGAGGCTCACACAGAGACGCATGGACTCCCTGCCCCCTTCCTAGATTTGAAGCTTTCGTGACTGCAAGGATTCATATTCTTAGGTTTTTTTCGGTAAAGTCACGTAAGTAAAAAATTAAAATTAATAAAAGTTTTAAAAAATATATCTATGATAATTGTTTTTTTACCCTTCTCTCTGGCAACAAAACTGACACCTTTTTACAAGGAGTCATGTTTGCATAGACCGCAATACCTGCAGTCATAATACAAACAAAAGAACATAACTCTGATAATGTGCACATTATCAGAGTTATGTGCACATTATCAGAGTTATGTTCTTTTGTTTGTATTATGACTGCAGGTATTGCGGTCTATGCAAACATGCAAACATGACTCCTTGTAAACATGACTCCTTGTAAAAAGGTGTCAGTTTTGTTGCCAGAGAGAAGGGTAAAAAAACAATTATCATATTGTTATTGGCAAATGAGGTTCCCATAGTGTAAATATATCTATATTTTACTTTTATTAATTTTAATTTTTTATTTACGTGACTTTACCGAAAAAACCTAAGAATATGAATCCCTACCCCCTGTTCAAACCCAGGTGTCAAGACCTCTTTATCCCCCTCCGACATATGACTGAACTGCTTCTCACATCATTGAATACTCATCATCATCACAATAATAACTGCATGTTTTATAGCATCATCCATGCTAACCGAATGCCACACCGCTGTACAATAATTCACTACACTTGGGTTTACCGATTGATTCAATACATTCCAACCCACGTTGATCGCATCTAAAAAAAATCTAAAATAGGGTTTTTATGTGGCTTGGCTCTCCAACACACCGGTGTTGCTGTACTAGTGACGAATTGGCATGTTCTGTTCACGTGACAACCCGAATATTTAAGGCCACTATGTTATTCACGAGTTGGATGTGTCGGGTGGTGGCGGGTTTAACGACACATTTATATATTTACACGATCTAACCCCCTCCAATAAAAAAACTCTTATGGATGATATTGGTCGCGAAAGCCTACGTAGTAAACAAAAAGAAACACCGCTTCCCCATTGCCTTGTGCCTGCAAAT